CTCAGGGGGCTCTGAGAGTTCTCAAATGTTCTCAGAAAATAGGAAAACTATTTTCTTGAGAACAGCCACCCTGCCAGAGGCATCGAGGATACCTCCAGAGAGGTGTGCACTGCCCAGCCCCGGGGGACCTCACTCACCTTGATGAACCACCCACATAACTGTGCTGGGGGCTCTGGTCTGCACTTCACGCACCTGCTCAGATAGGAGCAGCATTAGAGCAACAGGGAGGAAAACTTAAAGTACCTGAGGTGAGGCCTACATTCTTGGCAATGCAAAATGATCAGAACCTACGTGTTCTGGTGGTGAGGGGAAGTGAGAGTGGAAGTGAGCGGGGACGCCAGAGAAGTGTTCAGTAAGAGGGAGAGGACGGTGGGTAGAACGGAAGCAGGAGAAAGGCAGAGCCCAGGTGGCCCAGCGAAGGAAGTGGCAACCCAGGGTCCTGGGACCAGGGTGGAAAGACATCCTTCAGGGGTTTTCACCGAGGATCCTGAAGGCCCAGAAGGGGGCGTTGGGATGACTGGTGAATAGGCTCCTTCATGGCACACGTCTAGGGGGCACCCTTCACACTGCACCTGTGTGAACAGCACCTCTGGATGCTGTGATGCCATGGAGGGCCTGTCTATGAAGTCTTCAAAATTTTGCTTTTGGGGGGGCCATAGGGACCAACTCCCATCAGATAGTCACAAGGACCTCTAACGTAAGAAAGTTCAAGGAATGCTGTCGACCTGGACTCAGGATTGCACCACTACCAGAGGGGGTGCCAGCCTGGTCATGTCCCCAACCCAGTCCTCCCCCCAGGTCACCTACAGGAAGTCACAGCTCTGGCTTTGGGCTGAAATCTCCGTACCCAGTGGAAGAATGAGGCAAAAACTCCTTTGCTGTGACTCTGAGGCACGGGCCTGAGGAAACAGGTTTAAACTGCACCTTGAGAACATCTCTGATGGTGAGCGCTGTGGTGTCCAGGAGAAACCGCTGAAGATCTAGTCCCTGCGGATCCCGAGCCAGATTAAAAGTCGGTCTAGAAAGCTTACAGCCCAGGACATCCAACCATCGCTGGAAAAGGTGGGAGACACACAGAGTTGGACTTACAACACCAGAACCTGTCTTAGGGGGGTTACTAGTTTATTATGCTGTCTGGAGAAAAGACCCCAGGGTTCATCCTCTAAACTCCCTGGTTAACCGCAAGGCATCACGCTCCCTGCCCTCACTCCTGTCCTGCCAATGTGGAGGGAACGCTCAGCTGCCGCTTAAGGACGTGCCAATCACTGGTCTGCCTAGGGTACTCTGTGTGTTGTCCAGCTGTCACAACAGACCCGTCACAGGGATGGAGACAACAGGATGGGCAACCTCCCCACGGCTGCTACACTGATAAGCCAGGGCCAGGCAGGAAGGCCCCGCCTAAAATCTCAGGGTCCCCCAGTCTCATGAATACTCATGAGCCCTATACCCAGGGTTAGCCTCTGCTGCCTCCTATATAGATGAAACCTTTTCTCCGACCCCTTCCTCTGCCAGCTGGGGCTTGGGCCAGAGCAGAACGAGGCAGAACAATATTCACTTTACAGGGTCCCAAGAGCATCTGCTGCTGTTTCTGTGACATCACAAGTAAAACTGTGAACCTAATCAGCAGTTCCCAACTGGGGGCAGCACTGCCTCCTGAGGGTGGCTGAAACTATGGTGGTGGGGTGGGGGGGGCGGGGGGTTGGATTACTCAACAGCCGGGACATGACTGGCATTTAGTAGGTTGGTGGGGGGTAGGTTTGCAAGGAATGCCAGACTGGCTGCATTCTCTGGAGTCCTACACAAGGAAGAACTGTCTGCCTGAAAAATCATCTTGCTTTACATAGGGAAGCAAACCCACGATGAAGAGAAACCATTGTCTTTCTACAAGTAAAACGACGCACAAACCTCACTACCTCCCCCACTCTTTCTATTCCCACCCAAAGGCTCTCCTCATTTAACCTATGATATTTGGCCATAATAAGAATCAGAGGGGCCAAGGCCAGGCTCCCGACCTGCAGGAGGCCTCCTTACCTGGGCACCTCAGTGTGGATAGAGCGCCCGTCATCCGGAAGCATGTCAAAGTCATGCAGACTTTCTAGCAAAGAAATGAGACACAGTTAGAGACAAGGCAAGGAGACCAGACCTGCTTCAGGGGCAGCGCAGAAGGATCTCCATTCCACACGGACTGGGCCAGCTTCCCCATTGAGGGAGCTGGGGTTACCTGGAGAGGAACCTGAAAGGGGATCCCAGAGTCCACGTGCTTCTCCCATAAGCTGAGAAAATGGTGAGACTATATATAACATAGGGGCGTATCATGCCAACCACTTAGAAGACAAAATGCCCCGAATCTGAATAATGGGGCAGCTAAAAGATAGGACAATATATAGCAGGGAGTGATGGTGACCACGACCCATGGTCCTAGGGCCAGTGTCCTCCTGTTAATGAACCAGCTCAGCAGTGTCACAACAGCTGCTGATGGGGGACAGAGGGAGCACAGAATGTATCATAGTCCTTTTGAAGAGCATTAAGCTAATATTTTAATTTTTAAATTAAACATAATATATACGGGTCTTAGTATGTACCAGGTGCTTGTTCTAAGTAATTAGCAAATATCAAATCATTTAATCCTCATACAGCCACATTAGATATTGTCACTCTGGCCCAAATCACACAGCTAACAAGCAGCAGAGCAAAGGTTTACACCCAGTCTGGGTCCAGAATCCGTGTTCCAAACAATGACACCAAGCTCCTTTTTGATGCACTGTACAACGAAAGCTATAAACTTTTGCTATATCCCTGACCTAGAAATGCCTTTTTAAAGAATTTATCCCAAGAAAATAAGCAGCACCACCCAGGAAGAATCTACATATGGGAATATTCAAGCAGTGGTATAAAGGTAAGAGGTTGGAGACTACCTACATGGGCAACAATGGGGAGAGAACGGTTATTGAAGTCATGGCATATTGCAGAGAAGGTAAAAATCACATTCGTGGAGAATTCCTCCCACTACACAGCTTTCCAATGCACCCACAGCTGCACTGAAGACCCACGGGCAGAGGAAAAGAAAGCAGTGGTGGATGTTATGCTCCACGCTGGCACCGGGCCCCATACTATGCCACAATCGCGTACTTCGGTCTCTCTTAATCCAAACACTACGCGTTTATTGGTCCAATTTTACGGATGAACAAAGGGAGGGCCAAGAGGCAGATAAAGGATCCCCAAGTCACGGAATAAGCGGCAGAGCTCATTTTAGAACGCACATTGCTAATTGCTCTTTCCATTATCAACTTGCTATTTAAATAAACTCATGGCGCCTCAGGAAGGGGCCTTTTCTACTTAACTATGCCCCCGCTCTGCCTTGAACAAACCACTCTCAAGAGACTCAGAAGTCAAAATAGTCTGACCTCTTCAAAAACTTACACCATGATACTTACATGGAATTATGCTACAGGTACCAAAAATAGTGGATACTGAGGGACCATAATCTGCTATCAAAAAATTGGTCATCACCTAATTATCTAGAGAAAATTACCTTAAATGTATGAAAAAATTAATTTATTGAAAGCTGTGTGCCAAATGCTGTTTTAAGCACTTTCCAAATGCTGTATTATCTCATTTAATTCTCCTTGTAACTGTTAAGGTGGGAATTCTCTTTATTCCCATTTTACTTGAGAAACAGAAGCAGAGGGATTTAGCAAATTGTCCACGTGGTAAATGAAAACTGGACAGTGGTCAACAACAGAGAAGGAGACCAAGAACCTACAGGGCCGGGGTCTCAGAGGCTGGTTGCCCACACTGCACAGTCCTGGAAGCCACAGCTGCTCCCACGAGAAACAGACACGCCCTATGGTTTCATCCAGAGCCTTGCAAGCCTCAGAGCCTTGCTGCCAAGCCTGCCCCTTTCACACTCTCATGTACCTTGAGTTGCTTGGCCCATGCCAACTGAGCTCCAGTGGGTCAGCAGGAGGGCACACGATTCAGCACGGGTCTCAGGGTAAACCATAGAGGGGCAGGCAGACGCTGCAGAGCCTGGAAATCGCTCTTTGCGAGTAGTGGTGTGCAGGAGGAGTTTGGATAGGGGTGAGAAGACAGATCCCTTTGCTTTGTACTTTGAAAACTCATATCCTAGCACAAATCAAAGCTAAGTTCCTTGGGGGAACTGGACAGCACTCCTTGACAGACTCCTACAACCTAGACACAACCTCTGCATGATGGTGTGGGCAGCTAGGTCTTTTAGGATTCCGCCCTGCAAGAGACCGACAGGGAAGGCAGGTGATTAACCCTGTGGATGCCATCCTGGGTTATACATTGGGATGTGAAGTGCTCTAGCACTGGTCCTGCCCTTTACTCAGCACTTTAATCCTGACCTTGGCAGGCAAAATGAAGGGGCTACGGTGCATATAACCTACAAGACTCTAAGGGCCTGACTTACTTGTGTCTTATCCTTAGCGGTTTCCAGAAAAGTCAAACCTTTGCATGCCTTGAGCTGGTTAGTGGGTGTGTGTGAATGCGTTCTTAGCAGGAGCCCCCTCACTTGCTTACTGTCTTATCCTGGGGAAGATGTTATGGACTAAACTGTATACCCCCAAATTCTTAAGTTGGAGCCCTTCCACCACTACCTCAGAATGTAACTAACTGTTTCTGGGGACACTGGCTTTAAAGAGGTAATTAAGTTAAAATGAGGTCATTAGGATAGATCCTAATTCAACCTGACTCGTATTATAAGAAATGGAGGACAGACAGAGGGACACCGGGGACTGGAGGGCACAGAGAAAAGGCCAAGGAGAGAGGCATCAGAAGAAACCAACCCTGCTGACACCCTGATCTTGGATTTCCAGCCTCCAGAACTATAAGAAAATGAATTTCTGTTGTTGAAGCCTCCCAGATCACAGTATTTTGGTATATAGCAGTCCTAGCAAACTAATACTACAGAGGGTTACATCCACTTTATACCGCCTACCATGATTCAGAATGATAAGTGAATTAAAAACTCAAAAGGCTGTTTGGTTAATACTTTTAATTACATGATTATAATTATACAATTTCCACTATTCAACATTTCGTATAAAACCAGTTACAATACACAAATGTGACAATATGTATCAAACTATATAGATATGCAAAGTTTACACGCCATTATGAAGCTTTATCTTAAAAATACCTTCAGGAAAATAAACATTCAACTAGTTCTCTCAGCTTTATAAAATATGATTAGAAATATACATTTTAATTAAAAAAAATCAAGACAACGATTGATCCAATACTGATTAATCAGTCACATTTTAAAAGTTTTAATAATCTATACATGAGTGCAGGTTAGATAAAAGTCTGCAAATCATTAATATAAAACTGCAGTAATATAATCAGATGAATATACCTGCTGACAGTTAATTCTACTGGGCAATTAAGGAGGTAATTTCCTACACAGATTAGGTGAACTGTCCAGTCAATTAAACACATCTGTAGTATTTCCACTTAGTGACATGGCGAATACTCAGATCTAGGAGAAAAGGAAGAGCAGCAGCTAGCCCCACAAGGACAGTTTCGGTGGGAAAGAACTAGGAAAGAATGAAAACATGTTTTTAAAGTTGTTTGTGATGAGCACTGCTTTCCAAAATGCAATCATCACTTCAAAAACTGTATGAAGAGAAGCAGCTCAGCCACTTTCTGACAAACATCAAAGGAACGCAAGGCCCACTGGTCAAGCAAGGGAAGGGCTCCCGGAGCTCTTGGCATGACGCGGCCCAGAACACCAGATGGTCCAAACGGTTCACCCAAGGGGAGACACTTGGGGACTCATGAGAACACTTGGGGACTCCTTCAATCTTGTCGGGGCCCAAGAGGTAGAAATCACCCCTGTGAGAGGCGGAGGAGGGCAGGGAAGGAAGTGGGTGGGGGACAGGCTCAGAGGATCGAGTTCACAGCAGAAAAATTCTGGAGACTAGAAGAGTGGCGGGCCGCTTAGATGCAGCTACGTCTTGACAAGTAAGGCTGCTTGTTTTAGTGAGGCACTGCTCAGGATCCGTCCCTCTTCACCGACAGGTTAGAGGGATTTCTAGTTTTCCTGTAGCATTACATAATGGAAGTCTGTCTATATGTCTAGGTACCCAGTTTGGCAGACCACCCTTCTTTTGGACCGTCCCTAACTCTTGATGGTTTGAGTCCCCAGAAAGCTTCAAGGGCACCTAAAAATATTCATTTCTAATTTTAATTCCAATGGAAACTGTCTTGGTGTACTTTCAAAGTTATTTAAGGCTCTGAAGTTAAAGAAATCTCTCCATCTGACATGCCCTGTTTCATATTCCATAGCAACAAGATCTTCTATAACAAATTAAAAATGAGAATCTCAGGAGATTCTTGGGTATGTTAAAGTTTCAGTTGGGGGCGGGGGAAGAGTCTACTTTTATTCACAGCAGGAGGAACTTTCCATCCATCAGATGCAGAGACTTCCTAGGTTCCAGATGTCCCCATACATTTAACACCGCTATATACGATCCGTCTGAAGCACTATCCCAGATTGTGGGTTCCAAGGAAGGCTTCTTTAACAAATGACTAGTTTGCGATGACTCATTTCAGTGAGCCCGTCAAATACAAGGATTTTTAGAAAGAACCACAGTGACAGCAATTCTAGCTGGACACTTGAGCAGCCACACAGAAAGGCAATTTGTAAAACGAAAGGTACATTGAAGCCCAAGAGACACCAAATGGCTTATTCACGGTGAGGGTGACGGCACGTTTACTTGTTCTGACCAGCAAGAACGGTTCAGACGGAAGTTTGATTTTCACAACTACCGGGATTGTTTATGCAGGAGATGGCCTTTCAAAGTATAAAGGGAAGAAGAGTTGCCCTGAGAATTCAGTGTTTAATGCCTGGGCACAGCTTCAATATTTAGTATCATCTCCCAGACCAACACAGCAAACAGAAGGTTTCCCCTCCCACTCAAAGCTTAATGAAGAGCTGTCTTCCCTCAGGTAAGTAGGTCTTTATATTTATGAACTTCCAGGGATAGAAAAACACTGTTTTTCTGAGGTCCAGTCCTCAGAAAAAAGCTGGCATGGCCCTCATGGTGCCCAATGAGGAGCACCTCAAACAAATGCTTGTTTGGCCAAAAACAATGGCATCTTCCATCTCCCCTCAAAACTAGGCAACCTGACAATTTACTCCAAGAGAGTAAATACCAAAATAGATCCACCGTCCTCTAATTACTTTCTGCATTAGCAGACTTTAATCTGTTTATTCCAACCACTCCTTATTCTTCCTATTTGTATTAAAAAGGCAGCTTTTTAAAAATGGAATTGCCTACTGACCTGATTCATTCATCTTATAACGTGAAGGCATTTTGCCTTTTAATATTGTATCATCTCCCCATTCTCCAGACTAGGACAGGCAAACACTGGTTAGCAATAACTAAACCATTCACTTCCTATGGAGGTAACCAAGATGATTACAAATATTTTTTTCTTTTGGGACCCACTTTTTTTTTTTTTTAGCAGCAAATAAATTCTGTTTTATGATTGTTTTACATTACAGACTCTGCTGTGTTTCTGTGGGGTTGAGGGGAGAAGGCACTCTGCAAAGAGTTATTAGTTGTATTCCCTAACCAAAGGCAACAGTGAGTTTCTTATTTACAAACAACTGAAATCCAGATACGAATAACTGTCACTGAAACCAAAGGGTGTGTGAATGGCCTTAGGTCATTCACATAACAAAAAAAATCCACAATGCCACAGAGAAAGACCCTAACAAAGTAACTTTTTTAAAAAGTCACCATTATTTGGGATCACTGTTTCCAGGGGAAACACCAACAGTGTGGGGGTTTTTCCTGCATGGAAGGAAATATGATTTTAATTTGTATGACTGGGCAACCAAATAGTGGGCAGCCTTGGCATTCTTCAGTCCCGAAATGACAAACGAATGACTTAACAACAGTCTTCCAACTCTGAAGCCAGTTTCTCCTCCTGAGTCTTCTAAAGCTACTATTAACATTCTCTTGAAAGTTTTAGGTTACCAAAGTACCGCAACATGCAACAGCCTTCAAATGTGGTTTTCACAGATTCTTGTTAATAAAGCACTCTTTGGTGGAAGACAAGCAGCTTGGGTACTTGACAGAGTTAACATTATAACAGTATTACAAATACTAAAGTGAAGATGATTAAACCAAATAGTATCAAATTACAGAAAGTACCATTTCAGTAATGCTTGTTTTATCTTTATAAATTTTGACACAGGGTGAACAGCAAATAAATAAGTAAAAAACCTCCATCAGACCCTCAATTCTTCTGAAGGCCAGCAGCTAAACTGATTGCCATCACAGGGACACACCTGCACCACACAGACTAGTCAGCTCTCCTGATAACAGAGGGCTTTGATATTTACACCTGAGACTAATTTACAACAGCTTTTTTTGTTAAAGACATTTCTATAGAAGGAGAGTTGGGCCCTCTTCAAGTCATTCACTTGTACCCAAACTCATGTAGTTATTTAAATTCCAGTGGACATTTTCTTCATTGAATAAACTTCTTAGGTGGAAAGCAGCTAAGGCTTTTGCAATTCTGTTTTGTTTCCAAATAAATTGTGCTAAAGTCCCGTTGTAGTTTTCTGTTCCTAGAGTCTTCCTTCAAGTTCTGGTCACAGGTTTTTACTTAACGCAAGACTGTTTTAGTCCTTGAAATGGAGGGACTACAGGGGAAAAAAAAAAGGATTTTACCATGAAGGCTTTTAAGTGTCCCATATGTAGTTATCAAAGACAAGGAAGGCAACATAATAAAAATATTGACATGCTAAAAAGTATACACTTTGTATAATTCTTTAATGACAGATACTTTGGAAAAGACAGTACAATATCAACCGTAAAGTAAAGACAAACAGGAGAGAAGAGGCAGAGCAGAAAAAGGTTCAGTTCTGCAAAAAATTAAAAAACAATAGAAAAACAATAAAAAAAGAAGGGAGTGCAAAAGCGGCCGAGCAATGAGAGTACCATAATGCCATGAAGGGCATTTGTTGCAAAGCATTCCTTTTCCTTCTTTCCCTCTGAGGAATCAGGCTGTGGGAAAAGTGGAAAGAATGAAAAGATAAAGAAGTGTTACTTGATTATTTCCAAAGCCAGAAGTCGGTCACAGAAAAAGCTGGGGCACAGCACGCAGTTTCCAGTTTAGCAGAGCGCAGCAGGCACCCCGCACCTGCTCCCACCTTGCTCCGCACTGCTGCACAGCTGCAAGGGGACAGCCGCCGACCCTCTTCTGTTCGTGAATAATGGACCTACATTGAGCTTCACCCTACCTCCTTTCTTTCCTTCCCCAACTGATCACTTTAACTTTCAACGAAATAGCAACTTTCAGAGAACAACTAAAGCAAAAGAAAAGAGAGAAACCAATTCCAATCTGGAGGTGACCCCCACTTGGATGATGGTAACGGTGCTCTATCAGAGCAGCTCATCCGAATCAAACATTTAGTTTTCCGAGACCCCAACAGAGAACTGAGTATAAAGGTCCAGGTTAGTTGGTGGAGCCAAGAGGGAAAGTATCTGAAATTTCAAAGGGAGATTAATATTTTAAAGGAACAGAGGTAACCAGCATAAAAGAGTACTTAGATACAACATTCTGGGGCTTCTACAGTGATATAGTTTTTAACCATAATGGCAATGACAAAGAACTAAAGCCCAGAGGTGATGGAACAGACACTGAGATCTGAGACTCTAAGGAAGAAGAAGCAGTGACAGGTATGATGATGGCAAACGTCACAAATGAGAAGACTTAAAAAGCCAAAGTCCTAAATGTCGTTATGCCAACTGAAGGGCTTGTGAAGAGACTCATGGTTTCAGAGGCTGAAGAAAGAGCCTGAGCGTTTACCTTCCTCCAAACTATGAATAATTAGGTACAAAATGCCCCAAAGCAATGAACATTGGTTTGGTTTGGCAGGTGGAGCAGAAAGTGATGGTTCCCAATGATGCAACTTGGAATAAACAAGGCACTTATACATGACAGTTTTCTTAGAAAACAAACGAAGTTATAATTTTTTTTAAAAAAAGAAACAAAAGACTGCCCCAAAGAAACAGTATAAGCTTACAGAAACATGCACTCAATGGGTGAGCAGGGTACAGACATGAACCGAATTGAATGACATCAAATGAGGTGGCTACAGGTTGTCAATCGGGGGCTCGATGATGAAATGTTCGAGACTCATTCTCAGGGAGCCCTTCAGAGTTGATACAACAACACTAAAAAATGGGCCAATTCTATTTAGCTGGTTCTTCAGTGGATTAATTATTAAAACAGAAACATTAAAATGGGTTTCTAGCTCTAACAGGAAGTGGGAGGTGTAGAAGCCCATTAATTTACTTCTCTGGACTGAAGAAAGGGGATGAGGAAGGTGCTACACAGGCTCCTCTCAGCACCCCATCCGCCACCAGACGCTCCAGTGTTTCCGTGCCTGAACTGCCACAGCTGTGCCAGAGCAGAGCTTGTCACCCACGATTTAAGCTTAGATGTGGCTAATGTTCAATGGATACATGGGAGAATAATCAGTCACCTGCCATGAGAGAAACATGGTGGCAATTCTTCCCCACAACTCATATTTTTTCAGTCTCCAAATAACTGTTCTTTTAACATGTTTGTGGAAAAGTTCTTCCAAGATGTAAAGCCTCTCAGTAAACTGTCAAAAATCAAAAGAGCCAAAACAATGGAAAGTGAATGTTGGTGAGGTCTTCATCCTGGAAAGCCTCAAAGAGTAGAATAGAACATGGAAATGAAAGGTCAAGCTCTACGGCTCAATAGAGATGATGATGATGACGTACAAACAACATCAACCTGCAAGAGAGAAGGCCTCACAAATGGGAATAACAGCAGACTGGCAACCCTGGCGCCTTGCAAGTGTTTATGAATGTACACGGAAATGGTGCAAAAATGGTGTACTATTTTGTGTGTGTGCGCGCGCGTGTGTGTGTGTGTGTACTGCTGTTCAAAGAAAAGATTTCTATTCAATACTTTAAAATTACTCAACAATCTTAGCTCATATTATTTTGTCCTGAATCAGATTATGTACAATTGTGTTAATTCTCTCACTACCCTCCAACCACAAACGAATACTATCCCATAGGACAAAAACTTCAGGCTACAGCTTGGGTGCTGACTCCCGTTATTTCCTAGAAGCAGGGAATGGGACCTGTGCATAACGTATTTGCCTTTCTCTGGTGAGCTGTATGTGGTCACAGTTAAGGTGATGCCAATACAGGTCAAAGCCCAGAAAGAGGTAAAGGAGACCCGGCATGGAGGGCATGGTTAAAAGCACTGTGAAGCCCAATTAACTCTCGTTGTTTTACTTCTTCGCCCCTCCAAATCTCTGAAAGTCCATTTCAGAATTTAAAAGAAGTTTTTTTTGGTTTTCAGCACTATCCCGAATGCCTGAAAACTGCTTTCTTTGGGCCATTTCAATGTTTGGTCAAGGTATTCAGTCTGAACTCTACTTTAGAGCCCTCAAAGCAACAAGTCCAGGGACCTCAGGCAGATGCTCACCGCAATCAGGAACCACCTCTGCTGAGAAGCACAAGTTTAGATCACTAGACAAGACCTAGATGGAAAAACTGCCATACGGCCACACCCTAAGAGGAACGTGGTATGACCAGGCAAGTGCAGTCCCGGCTCCAGGACTCTAGCCAACTCCTCTGAAACCTGCAGAGCGCCATCCAGAAAAGCAGAGAGCAGAATTAAATGTGCAAAACACACCCGGCTGTGATAAAAGTCTGAAAAGAATATGTCCATTCAAAACATGTCTAACTATCATCAACAGCAGGCCCTTTATTTGAATTTTTAATAATTTAATTTCCATAAAAGTGTCAAAGTTAAAAAAACTCGCATTTCCCCTCATTTACTGTAGAAAAGTTAGAAGAAAAGAAAATGATAGAAAAAAAGAAAAAAAATCCCCAAATGCCCTACCAACCGGAAGAGCTGTTAGCGTTACGGCATATTTTTCCTTTATCTTACTTCTCTACATATATATTGGATTGGCCACAAAGTTCTTTTGGGTGTTTTGGTAAGATGTTACGGAAAAACCCGAACGCACTTTTTGGCCAACCCAACAGAAATGTCCACATCTATAAATATTTAAGCTTATAAATATTTACACACCTATACACTTTTACACACACACACATATATATAAAGTCTATTTTACATTTACAAAATTAGAGCAATACTTCATAATTTTTACGTGTAGCCCTTTTCACTTATTGCTCCGTGAGCCATTAACCCAGGTCATTAACTTTCCTTTGAAAACATGACTCGCAATTCATTTGGCAGAATTCATCAATCATTTCCGATTTCTTACTATTATAAATAACATTTCTGATATTATGTTATAATGTACCTAAATCTGACTTTCTGTCAGTATTTCTCTAATATTCTTCTCAGTGAATGAGAGTACAAAGAGTATGAATATTTGATACCTTTCTAATGAAAAGTTTTAAACCCTAAAATCAGGAGTCAGTGCCCAATTCTCAAATACTTGTATTGAGGCACTATCACGTTCTCTGACACGTAAAAGATTGTAGTAAAACTGTAAAAAAGAATCAGCAAAGAAGGAGAGTGGCGGAATGGAACAGTTCCTTACAAAAGCTAAACACACAGAGCTCTCTAGATTGTCAGTGAGTCCCTCAGGACACACAGGCTGCCGTGGGACTGCACCGGAGACTACCTTAGCACTGAAGGTCAACGCAGGCCCAAAGCCTCAAAGATCTGAGGGCAGGGAAGCCAAAAAGAAGCAAGGAAAACTGTGAAGGACGTTTTAAAGTCTGGTTCAGATTATCTTCAGCTTGCTCGTGGTCTCTATAAGACAACACTGTGCCCTGAGCATGGTACTGTCATGCTCAGGACCGCACGGGTTGCCAGCTCAAGGCAAAGATACACAAACACAAAAAAGGTGCCTGCCTGCCTATGCCTCCTGAGATGATAGGAAGTGGGCAAACTGCTCTCCCCTAAATGGGGATCTGTTTTTGGAATATGTTAAAAATGAAATGTCTCAGTTCATGATAAACATCCAAAAACAATGGTGAGTAATGGATTTGGTCACAGAACATGTCCAATTTTTTGTGAAAGCCTCTATTAATGAAGGAAGTGAAAGATGCTGGGCCAGAAAGTGAAAAGGCTAGCGCCCTTGGGTATATAGAGACTGTGGCCAAGAGGATAGTCGCTAGGTAAAGAAGGATCCCAAACTCACGGGAGTTCTCATTTTTCCACCATCACACTTATTTACAACTAATTCTCCAACAATTATGATGGATCTGATATACAGACAGAAAGATTTCCTCCAAGTCCTGACAGAGAGCTTTGGAAGTTCTTAATTTAAGAACTTAGAAGTACAGCATTCTCAACTTTCCCATATCATGACCCAGAGACCACATTTCCAGTGTTGAGAATCACCTCTGTAAACAAAACAAAACAAAACCCCAAATTAAAATGGTCCAGATTTTCTTAGATGATGAACAAGTGAAACATTTTTGATTAATTTCCTACCACAGGGACTCTGCTTTCTCCTGTCTTCATTTCTATCTCCAGAAGATTAAACTGGAAAACCAATGCTTAGAACATTTCAGAAGAGTAGGATTCTTTTCTCACCTTTTAAAACTGCTTTTTCTTGAAGCAGATCTGGTGGTTCTTTTAGTAATGCCTGCACTGCCAGAAATGTTAGGTTCAGATGTTTTACAGCTCTGAACACTGGACTGAAGAATTACTCTGAAAACAGTTGGAAAAAGATAACATTATATTCACTGAAGCGATTTGCAAATACTTGACAGAGGAAGGCATTTTTGCACTTTAGTGCAAACTATTTTCTTGAGAACGGACAGGATTTTCCATAAGCACATTTGCCAAAAAAAAAAATCTGAAACACACTTTTACATCAAGGTCTTTTGAAATAAAGCATCTCATTTCCCTATGAAGGTTTACACAAAGATAAACAAAGAACTTTGCTTTTGGAAAATGAAATGACCTGGCATGTCAAGCGATTCCCACACCAAAGAAATCAATCAGTAAGACAAATTTTTGTGCCCCAAAGTAAAAATAAATTCTCAGAATTCTAGTCATGAAAACAAGAAATCATTTAAAAACCCCAAATTCTAAAGACTACGAATATAAATATATATACAGTATTCACTCTTCAGAGCTGGAAGTACAAGCAATTGACATCAAATCAACAGTAATTTTTTATAACATTTCAAATTTTAAAAGTATGTTCAAACAGAATTTTTTGGGCTGGCTTACAACCACTTACAAAGTCACCCAGTACCATTAAAGTGAAGCTGTTTAAATTTTGTAAAACTTGATTTCATTAAACTCTAGATATCTCAAGGAACTGAGACCTATGGGAGTAGACTGCCCAGGAGGCAAATTCATGAATCAGAAAGAACACCCTCAGATAAAGCCCACACAGAATACCTGTTCATAAGTAGAGGGTGTTTTAAAATTCCTCACTGAATTGTCAGAGGGACAACAGCAGAAAACACCAAAAAATTTTACAAGCAATTCTTTTCTTCAAGAGATAATGACTAAAACACTGAACTGCATACATACACATTTACATATACTCAACTTTTATTTATCTGTGAGAGAAAATACTTTAAAAAGCTTTCTCCTCTCATATCCAAACATAAAGGTGAGATAGCCAACAACAACTTATGAGAACCCAGCTCATGCGTAAAAAGAAACCATTACAACGAACTAGCAGCCAGTCCTACCTCCTATGCCTGTGTTAACACCACATTAGTTAATAACCAAAGCCAGGTCCTTAAAATGTAGTAAATTCTTATAATCTTAATATTACTCAAACCATAGGATATTCAACATTTAGTAAAATACTAACTTCTCATCATTAAAAAAACAATGGGTTGTACTGCACCAGAGCAGAAGTCTGGAGGGCAGTAGTTTTCGAGCCATCTGGGGGAGAGGAGTAGAAGGCTGAGGGAGGGAACTCCTAGCCTAGCTGTTTCTCTTTATCCAAGAAACATTTCTGAAAGCCTTATGAATCAGGCCTTCAATCTCACTGAGGGAAACTGATCCTGGGTAAATGAGCCAATGCTTGATTCAGGATTTCTGATAAAGTTTTATCATCCTAAATGCTGACTGTTTTAACAAAATAGACAATGTATATGCAGACATAATTATATTATCGAAGAGGTAGTACCAACTGCCCCGGCATATAAATTCTCTCCTTGAAAACAAGGATTTATTTTTAAATTCTTTCTGATTGTGTAAAGTGAAGAGGAAATATTTAGTTGTCTTTGTTAAGAATGTGAATCTAGAATTTTTCATTTAAAAAAACAAAACAAAACGGAAACCAACTGCAATGCTTCCATGGCTATTTCTAAGGCCCAGGCCCAGGGCTTGGTGCTGCCACTGCTGTCCCGAGGGCTCTCACCCACTCAGTGAGGCTCATGAATTTTATCTCCATTTTTTACAAATGGAGAAAATGAGACTCCTGTTGGCTTTTTTTTTTGAAATACAAAAACTACTTTTCAAATAATTTGAGGCCACTTAGGGTCAAAAGTATCAACCATCACACTGTAAAATCATTAATATGAGGGAAAAAACAAGAGCCAATATACATTGCCTGCTTAGGAAATTTACCTCCTGATTTCTTAAGTTAGCTATTATGTTTAAATACTATTCAAAACAAGAAATTACTGCTAAATCACATTTTAGGCTGATAGGAAACATCTTTTTAAAAGTACTTATTTCTCTATAAAATTAGTATAAACAATTCATGTGAAGTAATATACTATTAATAGCTAATAATTTAGGTGCAATTTTGAAAATGAGAGCATGCTAGAAATTTGGAATGCATTAATCTCATCAGTAAAGATTCAGGTCACCAGTTATTTACATTAAAAACAGAGCAGTTATTACATCTGTAGGTTATGCATCAATAAAGTGCGAAGGAAACACAGCAACTACACTTAGTTATTACCTGAGATATCCTACAAGTTAACACCCTAAGGTGGGTGAAGCTAGTAAACGTGTGAAGTATTCACTCTGCCACAGGGATGTGGGAGCTCACCACCCCCCACCTTGCACACTAGGCCAATCACACGGCTCTGCAGGACAACATTTAGCAAATGTCATTTCTCCTTTCCATCTTTTCCTGATAGAACCCTCAGTCCTACCTTCTATCTCTTGCCCATACTAGAGTTCGTTTTCTTCTCTGCAGTATCTTTTGAGGCCCAATATTTTCCGATTTTGGATACAAAGATAGCTGCAACTTGAGGCAAAGCAAAAAATGGAAAAGCCAGGTCTCTCACCTATCAAGTCACAGAGTACTTTGAAAATAAATGTTCATTCCAAGAAGAGAAGCCATCAGCACAGCCATGCCCTATTTACGCTGGTTGTCCACCACTGATACAAAAAGAGCCTGCAACATGATGGGCCTGAGGCCCTGCAACCTGCAGAGATGCTTTTCCCACTGTCTAAAAGGTCTGAAGCAGCGTGTGAAGTGCTGTTATAGGGAAGCTCTCCAGGCATGCCAGGAAACAACCTATCAGGCGACACTACATCATCAGCCAATAGAGGTGAACGTCAACAACAGTGCCCATGAGTAGTCACCTCAAAGGATAATTCTAAGGATTATATCTGTTCACATTATTGTTATTGTTGAAAGCTTTTGTTTCTGTAAATTCCAAATTAATCAGGGCAGGCTAAAGTGAATACTCTGCTTTGGGCTAGAAATACAATGGCAAATGTCAGTAATAACAAAAAACGTTATGTCTTACATAGAATATTAAAAAGAAAAGAGCCTGATAGAGACCATTTTTTAAACTTACCCTGCAAAAAATAATACAATCATGAAGCACCTAAACATTATTAGCAATGACCCCGCCTGTTTGAAATTGCCACTCGGAATAGTTTGAGAAGGATAAATCTATGCAGTGTGTGATGGCCCTGAGTCCAAATGTGTGACATCTAGGCTCGGTAAAAGAAGTAAACGAACAAAACACCTAAAGGGATAATCCGTATCAGAAACACAGTATATGTGCCTATGTAATAAGCTTGTTATTAATAAGATTTTTTTAAAATGTCATATATAGGTTCATGTTAAGCAGCTTTTCCTTAATTTTGAAAAGAATGGCATCTGCTAGTTTTTTAAATCTTTTCTAGCCATTTGAAAACATTCAATGAACCACAAAGTACTAGAGTTGGTTGCAATGGAATTTTACTTTGGAGGAGATCCTAGAAGGCACTTTTGTATTCCTTTATAACCCCCAAGTCCAAGTTGGAACAAGACAAGAAATTCTTAAAATTTGAGCTAAAGAAAATGTTTCAGAGAAAAAAAGAATGCAGCCTAGACATAAGAGGGTAATGGTGAACCACAGTCTCACAGGATACACCCTCCTTTCTGTGCTCTTGGTCTTAACATGATGTTCCCAGGAAAGTTTCTTGTCACATTCTTCTGCAGAAAAGGAGTCTCTTCACTGTGAAGGTATTCATTTAATGATGAAAGATATCAAGAGAATACAAATTCTGCCTCTATTAACCTAATAAAAGCATTCTGGTTACTTTTGGGAAAGGAGGAAAGTGGGAAGGAAAAAGGAGCACAGTGACTGTCATGTGGAAACACAAACATAAACAAAGGACTCCAGTTTTCTCTGCTTTCCTATTTTCATTCAACACCAAGTGTTGAAAACTATACTTAACTGTATTCCCTAAAGGGGAGGAAGTGAAACAAGGAAGAGGAGAAAATTCTGCATATTCAAGACAGAATATTTATTAGGGAAGCAGGTGCCTGCTGAGAGAGCACCGTGTACAATGGCAGAATCAGAGGTGAAAAAGGATGCAATGCTCACTAGACCTCATGGCTACAAAATAAAGTCTTTACTAACAGCAGAAAACCAGCGGGAAAATTCTTTTTGCTAGATTGGAAAGGATATATTAACAATATTTACTCTAGAAAACAGGAAAGTTGTACAGACAACTGACTGAAAGAAAACCACCCCAATTACCCCAAACTAACTATACATTTTTGATGAGAAAAAGAAACTACGTCATTGTCATCATAAATCGCTATTTCAAAAAATCTGTTAAGAGTAAGCACATCTCAAACGAAGCGTGTTACTTTTAATATCCCTGATATGAAAGTAACAGAGAAGACTTCCTTCCCTGCCACCAACCCATGAAGTGCAAAGATTCAGAATAAGAACCTTTGAAAAAAGGCAAATCAACAAAGCTAGAAGAGCTGATAGTGAGAAAAACATGCATCATGAGAAACACACTGGACACCAGAGGTGAGCGCTAGTAGAGAAGTGGAATGGGACACTTACACAGCAGCTATCTGTCAAGGGTCCTGATGGCTACTGTGTTCTTAAACCATCGAGACAGAATAGCAGGATGGGGAGAATGTAGTCACAAACAATCCACCAGATGACAACACTACACAGTGCAGAGGTCAGCACAGCTAGGGAACATCTGGAAAGGGGTGAAGGGGAAAGAACAGATGTTCAAATTGGGAAGCCAAAATAAATAAAATAATAAATAAATAAAGCCACGTGTGAAATTTAGATACCCTGCAATGCAAAGGAGCAGGAAACAGGGATCAAATTTTGCCATTTTACGTTGGAAAAAAATGCTGTCTTCAGTTTTAAACCGATTTGATATTTGGTAAAGAAAGACTAGACCCAATCTCTAGTTGGATAACTACCCCACGTTAACTTAATTGTATGATACTGAAATTAGAGTCATAGCTATGCGATTGAAATTCTTCAAAAAGCGTAATATGCACACAGAAAAGCAAATCACAGAGAAAAAGGAGGCAAAACCAACCAGACAAACAAACAAAAAAAGCCCTGAACTGACACAGGCATGTGTCTGCTTTATAGATTTTCATTTGTTCCTCTAGTAAAGCTCCTGACGTGAGAATTATTTTTCAATGATGAAACACACCCACCTACACTGTACTGTTAAAGGTGGTTTTAAGGGATTTTCAAGGCTAACTATATCTGTATTTTTACCTGTTCCCATAGGATGCGCTTCCACTCTTCATGCATCATTTCCTTTGTCCCTAATAAACCTAGCAGAAATCATCAGCACAATGCAGAAAAATAGGCAGCATGGATGAAGTTACAAAATCTACCCAATCTGTTTTGGCACAGACAATAATATACTTGCCGTCATGTCCTGAAGATCACTTCAAGATCATGGTGCTACATAATTTCCTGTCCTCATGATAGTCAGGATCAGACAAGCTCTCTGACAAAATTACTAATTTTACTGGGCTTCCCTGGTGGTGCAGTGGTTGGGAGTCCGCCTACTGGTGCAGGGGACGCGGGTTCGTGCCCCGGTCCGGGAGGATCCCACATGCCGCGGAGCAGCTGGGCCCGTGAGCCATGGCCGCTGAGCCTGCGCGTCCGGAGCCTGTGCTCCGCGGCGGGAGAGGCCACAACAGTGAGAGGCCCGCGTACCGCAAAAAAAAAAAACTACTAATTTTACAATTTCTAACACTTAATTCTCCCCAAATATTGACTGTAAAACAGACACCAATGACTGGATTACTTTATGTACTATAACTTTCTTTTAAGAATCACCAGTACTCATATATTTTTCATTAACTTTCCCTCTTAACATTTTCATTTGGCTAAGTACCAACAGTGAAGCAAAATAACATGTCCATGCTGACAGATGGGTCAAAATCAGGAGGCAGGAATTGAATTTAGATTTTTCAACCCAAGCTGCTGCTGTAAACTCTCTCTCAGGGGACTTTTAAATATTTCTAAAATCACAACAAACACTTGGCAAGGAAAGGAAATCTCCAGTTGACCTCCTCTTCTAGGGCCAAAAGAGCTACAAATAAGAGCAAAAATGAGAAGACTGTAACAGCAAAGAGGGTCTGAAAAAGCAGGAAGGGATAAGGAAGGAGAAGGAAGGAAAATCTGCTGTGACTAATCTTAAATCTCTCAGGGTGTTTACGCATAATTGTGTGTATGGGAAGAGGGTGGTTTGGGGACTATTCTATTGTTTGGGGGATTACAATTACAATTAAAGGGAATCTGGAGCTAGCTTTTTTTTTTTTCTTTTAACTTTTACCAAGTAAAAGGTTGTTTTAGGGAATTCCCTGGCAGTCCCAGTGGTTAGGAATATGCTTTCACTGCTGAGGACCCAGGTTCGACCCCTGATAGGGGAACTAAGATCCCACAAGCCGCAAGGCGTGGCCAAAAAAAAAAAAAAAAGAAAGATTGTTTTAACACATGCCAAGAATGCCAAGAGTGCTTCAGAGCAAAGGGCCAGTGTTCTTTACTCCTTTTAGGGTAAGGTGGGGTGTAAATAGATAACTAAGCAAATGGATAGCACAGAGGCTGGTCTTTCCTCCACTGGTCTTTGCTAGTTACTATCATTTAGCCATCCATCAACTACCATCCCAGGGAACCTCACATACCAAGATAAATGTCATAGCATCTAGTGTCATCTTCTGGTTTCCAACAATATTTCTAATTTTAGTCTACATTTATTGTTTTCTTTTATGTTTCCACAAATCCATGAGCTATGGAAGAGACTTTTATAGTCTCATTTTTCTAGAAAGGAGCATCAAATGATTTGAACTCTTATAAAACATATTCACAAGACAGCAGACTCAGAGTAACTAAAGAAAATTTCCTATAAGCCCTATCGAACTCCAGAACCTTTGACTAAGCAGAATTCCCATCCCTGACTCCCAGCTTGACTTTTGAACAGAAGGCAACAAGCTATTGAGAAATAAACTGATGCTGAAGATTCTTAAAAACAGAACAAAAAACCTGGACATGACTAACGCAGCCCACAAAATCATCCACCTTCTAGGGCTTGTGATTCCAAGTGTGGTCCCTGGACCAGTAGCATCTTTTAACACCTGGAAGCTTGCCAGAAATGCAGAATCAGATGGTACCGAAGACCCACTGATCATTATCTGCATTTTAACAAGCTTCCCAGGAGACTCAAATGCACACTGAAGTTTGAGAAGCACTGTTCTAAGGCACTAGCTATTTCCTCCTGTCTAAAATTGGGTTCAGAATGATTATTTGGAGGGACCATACTATTTCTAAATAAAAAGAACCATTAAGGGCTTCCCTGGTGGCGCAGTGGTTAAGAATCCGCTTGCCAATGCAGGGGACACGGGTTTGAGCCCTGCTCCAGGAAGATCCCACATGCCGTGGAGCAACTATGCCTGTGCGCCACAGCTACTGAGCCCGTGTGCCACAACTACTGAAGCCCGTGCGCCTAGAGCCCATGCACCGCAAGGAAGAGTAGCCCCCGCTTGCCGCAACTAGAGAAAGCCCACGTGCAACAATGAAGACCCAACACGGCCAAAGATAAAATAAATTAAAAATAAACTAATTTTAAAAATAGTAACTAAAAAAAAAAAGGAACATTAAGACCTTAAATGAAGACTTATAATGAAATTAAAAACAAAATGGCATTTGGAATTAAATAAATTATTTAAAGCATTCTAGTTGATTGAATGCACAACTAAACAGCAAAGAGAATGCTGAATTAATGCCTATATCAATACTGATGCCTTTCATTCACATAGCATTTTATTTTGGAAAACTCATTCCTTTACTTTGGGTCTTTTAAGAATCTCCCAAGGTAGTGGCCCATGATGACACATCCCTTAAGTGTAATTCTACTTTGGATTTTAAGATTATGAGAAGATACCAGTGAAGAACTACTTTTAATTAAAAAGGCCTGTTCTTCTCTGCCATAACCATTTACTATGTCATAGTTCCTTGCCATATTACAAGATGCTTACTGAATACTAAGATGACCTATCTCCATCACCAAAAAAGGGGGGGCGGTGCAAAATTTGACACCCACCCCACAATGAAAGGTACTAGAAGGAAAGAATCCATTGGTATAGGTGGGAGCATCTACTAAAGAATACCCTAGAGGGCTTCCCTGGTGGCACAGTGGTTGAGAGTCCGCCTGCCGATGCAGGGGACACGGGTTTGTGCCCCGGTCCAGGAAGATCCCACATGCCGCGGAGCGGCTGGGCCCGTGAGCCATGGCTGCTGAGCCTGCGTGTCCGGAGCCTGTGCTCCGCAATGGGAGAGGCCACAACAGTGAGAGGCCTGTGTACCAGCCACCCCCCCCCAAAAAAGTACAATGGTCAAGTTTTTGATTCTACATACCTTTCTAACAATCCTGTACATTCCATGAGATTGAATCCCAACTAACACTTACAGAAGCAAGTATAAGTGGACACACACACAACCCAATAACTATAAAACTTCCTAACTCCATACTAAACCTGCTTCTGTAACTTGAAAAATTCCTCCAACGAAAAATTAATACAAAAATATAGTTTAATCAATTCATTGTTGACTTAAAATAACGACATTAAGCCCCCACGTCACCACTAATTAAAGTTTACCATATCAAAACAAATTATGTGTAATACGGTAGTAAATTTAAAGAAATTAACAATTTTAATAACTGGACAAATCTACAGTTATTCTACAGTTTATATCTTCTGTCACTCTCTTGAGGATGTAACATGTTTATGAGAAATGGAATACTGTGTGTCATATCAGTAAACAAAGGATGTCACGGTCATCAGTGATTATAGCCACAAGCCAACAATGAGCTGGTGAGCCCTGAGGGAACTCAGGAAGGAAGGAACACCTGCCATCTAGCAGCCATCAGACTGCAGCCACTCCCACTCCCCATGGTGAGCCCTGAGGAAACTCAGCATGGATACTGGCCCCAGAGAGCTGAGGTGCATATCAAAGGAAGGATTTCAGTGAGCCCAGACTCTTGCATCTTCCCATACATAGAAAAGCGCTAAATTCCTTAACTTGGGATATCTGTTTTCTCTTATTAACAGTAATCTTTTGACATTCAGACTACCTTTGCTGCAAAACTCCTATATATCCTGGCTCCCTCCTCGCCTCCTTGGAGCAGTTCTCTCAGGGTAACTTGAGATGCTGCCTCCCGGGCTTCTTCAAGTTCTAAAAATTTCCTCCAAATGAAACATAACTCTCAACTTTTAGGCTGTGAATATTTTTTTAGCCGACAGTTATTATCCATGGAGAAAAATCACTCTGAATAGTGCTTTCCTATCTATACGAGCTAGCGAGGTTGCAACACAAGACAGAGATAAACAAAGGATAGTTAAGAGCTTCTTAGGCAACACCCTTAGATTTTCAATAAAGTAGATATTCATTTCAAAGTGGCATAATGGGCATGCAACCATGGAGAAAATGTACAGGAAAAATTGCTCATGAAGGACCTTATACACAAATTAAATAACTACAACCACACGAAGGAAATCAGACTCACGTGAGGGGAATAGCGTTTGTTTTTGATTGTCTTCTGCTTTTCAGGGCCCGAAGTCTATCACCTTGTGTCACTGCATTGATTTCGTCATCATCACTGTACTGTGTAAGTAGAAAAACACTGAGCTAATGATTTAAGCTGTACTTAGTAATGCAGCGAAGCATAGCAGCTACATTTACCCATACAGATCATACACAGACACACATAAATATACTTCAACATTCTGATGAACTCTAAAATATTTTGCTGCTTTCAAAATAAAGGGACAGGACACAATTCAAGACAACCAAAAGTTGACTTTCATAGACAAAGAACCCAATAGCACTCTTGTTATAAAACATTTTGACAGTGAAGAGGCATAATGGGTTTTCAGTATTGAAAACACTCTCTTTTAAATTCCACAATCTACTTACCACCACTTAATATAGTACTGCTACCCCCTAAACTCTTGGTTCTTTAAAGTTCCCATCTGAGAACAATTGGTTCCCTAAATCAGCTACCATGAAATAGGAAAAAAATGGGGGAAAGGGGTGTCACGAGGTCCATCTAAAGAGTGTATTTCACATACCTCTTTTTATCACCAGTGCCTTGTGAGTAAACAAAAAATAAACTTTAGTTTTAAGGACACATAACCTTGTTTTAACTATTTTGACTAAAAAGTTTCTAGAGAGGGCAATAAGTACAAAAAATGTGTGATGATAATCCCTCAAAATGTGCTTTATTATTTGTATCTACAATTTTCTCCATGCCCTAAAAAGTTCTCAGCAGCATCTAAAGCAATGACAACAGTGTGATGGGGGTGGTTCGATTACCAGTTCATGTTCTTGCTTGTCTTCATTCTCGACCCCATTGATTGAAATGTCATCAACAGCCAAGAGGAGTTTTGAGACAGCTGCTCTGTGTCTTCCATTCTCCTGACCCTTTAACTTTTGACGAAAATAGTCACCTTCCATCCAGAGGCTTGCCTGTTTCCTACAGTATTTAAGTAACAAGATCAAAATACAGCCTTCCGGAAAGATACATACAAACAACTTTCTCCTACTAGACTATCTGCTGTTACTGGAGCCTAAGGAAAATTCTACTTCCCATCACTTTCCAGACCCGTGCGTTCCTGAGGAATTACAAAAGCTCTCCATCCACTTACATCATCAAAAATTGTTGCTGAGGTCCAATCACTGAGCCAGGTCTGCAGATTCTGACCCAAGCAATGGCCTCGGTTGCTGTCATCCTGTAATGCTTCATGATGTAGCAGGCTATCAAAGTGCCTGTTCGTCCAAGGCCAGCTAGGAAAAGAAACAAACCAATGAGACCTGGTGTCATGTGCTCCAGAATTTTGTTGGGCAGGTAGGATTTTTTTAAAAAAGTTTCCCATGATTCTGCTCCCCTCAACAGTGGTTCTCATGTTTTGATGCACAGTACAATCAACGGGAGAGTTTTTTGTTTGTTTTTATTATTATTTATTTATTTTAGGCTGCATTGGGTCTTTGTTACTGTGTGCGGGCTTTCTCTAGTTGTGGTGAGCGGGGGCTACTCTTCGTTGCAGTGCAAGGGCTTCTCACTGCGGTGGCTTCTCTTGTTGCAGAGCACGGGCTCTAGTCGCCAGGGCTTCAGGAGTAGTGGCTCGTGGGCTCTGGAGCGCAGACTCAGTAGTTGTGGCACACAGGCTTAGTTGCTCCGCAGCATGTGGGGTCTTCCCGGACGAGGGCTTGAACCCGTGTCCCCTGCATTGGCAGGCGGATTCTTAACCACTGTGCCACCAGGGAAGCCCAACTGGAGAGTTTTAACTGGTATGTGATGCAGCCTGGACACGGAGATTCCTAAAATCCCTCACATGATTCTACGTTTAGCCAAGATTGAAAATCACTTTCTAAGCGATGATTCTCAGTAAGTGCAGTGTTTTATACTCTGGGTTTTCAGTTAATGGAACCACCATCTTTCCAAAAATACAGGCTTAACATCTTGTACTTTCTCCCTCATCCAACTGTTTTTTCTACTCTACTTTTAAACCTATTTGCACGTGGACTTTTTTCCCCACTCTGTTCCTGCTGTCTTCCTTTACTCTCGTCTAGACTAGTATCATTACCTCCTGTGATGGTTAATTTTATGTGTCAACCTGGCAGGTGTATTTGGATGAAATTGGTAGACTTTGAGTAAGCCAACTGACCTCCGTAATGTGTGTGGGCCTCATCCAATCAGTTGGCAGTCTGAACAGAACAAAAATACTTGCCTCCCAGAGTTAGAGGGAATATTCTACCAGACAGCCTTTGGACTTCAACTGCACCATTGGCTCTCCTGGGTCTCCAGCCTGCCAGTCCACACTGCAGGTTTTATGGTCACCAGCCTATATAGTCACATAAGCCAATTCCTTATAATAAATCTCCTTCTCTCTATATATACATCCTACTAGTTGTTTCTCTGGAAAAATCCCACTAATACAGATTTTGTGAAGTGGCATGCTACTGAAACATTATGTAAAAATGTGGAAGTGACTTTGGCATTGGAATTCTAAAGGCTGGGAGAGTTTTAAGGCACATGTTAGAAAAAACCTAGATAAATACACCATTATAAAGCAATTATACTCCAATAAAGACGTTAAATAAAAAAAAAAAGAGAAAAAACCTAGATTGCCTTGAAGGGGCTGTTAGTAGGAGGAATACAGACGTTAATGGTGATTCCAGTGGACTCACATGGAAACTGGAAGAAAGGCAATCCTTGTTAGAAAGTGGCAAAAAAAACCTGGCTGAATTGTGTTCTAGTGCTTTGTGGAAGGTAGAACTTCTGCATGACAACCTTGGATAATTAGCAAAGGAGATTTAAATTCATAAGCAAAGTGTTAAAGGTGCAGCCTGGTTTCTCCTGACTGATGTGAGACGAGAGAGATGAATTGAAGAAGTAATTGTTAAGCAAAAAGGAACGAGAAACTAAACATTTAGAAAATTCTAGGCCTATTCATTTTGAAAAAAGTAAGAAACTGTGTTCTGGATACCAAGGGTATGACTGAAAAATCAGCTCCATAAAGATATTACCCATGGATTTAATCAGCCATCTCGGCACAAGCTAAAAATACTGATGGGATTACACTGGAAGACTGCCAGTTTGGACTAAAGGGGACAGAAACAGGATGAAATAAAGGAAGGCTTTTACGTTTCAGGGATCCTATAGGACTGGACAACAGAGGTAACTGGTTGCAAACATGGCTCATCCTTCAAAAGAAGGTTAGTATGACCCTGAGGGTGATGCAGAGATCAGCTTCCACTGCAGGGGGCACAGGTTCAATCCCTGATCAGGGATCCTTGCATGCCATGTGGTGAACAACAACAACAAAAGACAGTTGTTTTAACGTCTTTGTCTAGTGAGTCTCCCATCTGGTCTTTCTTTGGGACAGTTTCTGTTGATTCATTTTTTTCCTTTGAATGAGCTATCCTTTCCTGTTTCTTTGTATTCCTTGAGATTTTTTGGTGAAAACTGGACATTTGAATCTTATAAATGTGTGAACTCTCAGGATTAGATTTCTGATATTCCCCAGGTTTGCTGTTTAGTTTTTCTTCTCCCCAGTGTTGGCTTTTTCTTAACAAAAATGTATCCCTTGCCTTCTTAGTTAACTAACAAAAGGAGAAAAGTTAAATAAATCCTAGTATATTCATACGATGTGTTATTACACATTCATTCAATAAATATTTATTAAGTGCCAAGCACTGTTCTAGCTGCTGAAAGCCTAGCAACTTGTTAGAATATAAAGTCCAAAAGATAAGCTCTTGGAGTCTGCTCTGCTCACTGACATATGCCAGAACCTACCAAAGTAGGCACTGAATAGATATTTGATGAATAAATGAATGTGATAAGCCTTTGTAGTATTACCCATGAATACAGCTTAATTTACTAAACTTTCCATATGAAATTAGGGTTTTAAAAGCATTCTTTATATGTACAGCCTTTTTATGCCAGTCATACCTCCATAAAGTGGTTTTAAGAAAAAAAAGTAAATCACAAAAGGAAAAAAAAGCACTCTATAAAAAACAAAGGCATCTTCATGTGTCCTTGCATATAATCTAAACGAGTATGGTATGTTTCTACACACATATACATTCACGTCCACCATTTCTTAACCAACACTAGAAACATACCTTTACAGTGTACTGCAATGGCACCCTCTGCATTTTCACAAACATCCAGAAATTCTTTAACAATGGCATCAGTAGGCGTGCTGCCATCCGCAAAGAAAAGATCATAGTGATCGAAACCAGCGTTCGTAAAGCGTTTGGCATCATACATCCTTTTATTCAGACGAATAATGGTAGTAACGTTGTGATTCTTAAAATACGGAATATAAGCCTCAGGAGAATGTTGGTGGTAACCTACATAAAGAAATTCACCAGATGCTGTAAAATGCAGAAAGAAAACAATGGATAACAATTTCACTTGTAACTGGGTGGAAACAGTATCTGGACTGGGGATTGAATACCAGTTTGATTATAACTGTGAAAAAAATAAATTTAAAAAGTTAAAATCCAGGCAGAATGATGTGCTAAAATGTCCAAGTACACTTAATTAAGACAGTCGAGCTTTGGCCTCTTTTAAAAGAAAATACTGGATGGATACTTTTAATAACAAAACTATACTGGTCCCATGTATTTGCATACCACTTTCAAGTCTGGTTCTTGAATGAGGTCCACAGAAGGCAAGAAATCGGTCTGGTATTATCCAATTTAAATCTCCATTTTCTGCTTTCTGCATAGGGAAGACCAAAACAAGATCAATGTATGTGTATGTACACGTGTACCTAAGAACAGGTAAGAAATAAATCAAGAGTTCCCTTAAGATCTATAGGCCAGGCAAGTAACCCCAAACTGATTTAGTTGACTTAATTATCAGCCAAGGGAATGGATGAGTTCATTCCATGCTAAAAGATGTAAGCAGGAATGAGGACTACTGTTGCCACATGTTCTGATTTTGAAGTAAAACCAGAAGTTTGGAGATTTTAATGAGAAATGTGTGATAGATTTCATTGAATCACAGGCATCATAGATTGTAAGATATATCCTGAATTCAGAGAATTCCTATTCAAAACAGGATAAAATGGGCATCGTGGATTCAATGAAAAATACTAATCCAAAATTTCTAAAAATACTTATAGAGACTAAACAAAGCTACCATGGTGGTCTGTAGCTACCCTGTGTCTCAATGCAGTTTCACTGAAAGTAAAAGTCATTTGTGGGTGACCCTGCTACTCTCCCGCAATGCTGCAATTTCCGCATTAGCGAGAGGGAAGCTAATTAGCACCTATATTACTCCTTAGTAAAAAACACATAAAGGCATCACTGTGCTACACTGAAGGAATAGCAACTGGTGTTTTTCTTAGTTTTGCTTATCTAAAAAGAGAAAGTATATTTTATTTTAAATGTTTAATTTTATAAGGAGAAGCACAAAAAATGGTGTTAATAACTCAATTATATTCAGTAGTTAAGATGGTAAATAAATATTGATGTGTATTGTACTTTATAAATGTACTGCTATTACAGAGAAGTAAAGGCAGGGTTGGCCTAATGAATCACACAATATGCTTTTATATGTTTGGTACATCACAGTAATGACTAGTAGTAACTATGAACCCAATTTATCAATAAAATAGTTCAGTTATACTTAGGAGTTTAAAATAATAGTTATTTTAAAAATTGATTGTGAAAGAACAGTTATCTGAGGATTCAAGATACTGCTGAATAAAGTGCCATCTGTGGAATCATTCCAATATTAGTGAGACTGTCTGCTCAAGATAACTATAGCAGGATAAAAAAAAACAAGACTCCACAAGTATTCTTGGCTGGAAAAGACCTTTAGCATAACATCTTACTCATTATCTACTTGGAAGGTAGAATGGTAGAATCAAATTACACATTAAAAAAAAATACACTACTTTAAAAAACATAGAGGACACCTGTGGTTTTGCCTGCCTGGATTCTCTCCTCTCTGTGCCCCCCCCACCCCACCTTTCTTGGTCTGTATGATTTGATAGGGCTGACCCGATTCCACTGCTGTGATGGCCAAAGTATTCTATACCTACTCATCCCCCACACCCACCAAAAACACAATCTAGTTCAGGGCTAGAGACATGATCTAAGCCAGGCCAAGGAGAGGAGTTCGAGAGTCTTCTGCTGGAGCTATGAATTTTCTTTTCCAATGAGTTGGGTAAATCAAACGGGTAAGTCAAAGCTGTTGGTAGCCATCTTTATCCCAACTGGGGAGAACTGACCTTGGAACAAAGCTAGCTTCAGCCCAATTTCTGGTAAGTGCTTGAGTACCTGAATCTGGTCATGAGTGAAGTTACACTAGCTCCTAGACTTTTTATTTACGTAAATCAATAAATTTTCCCCACTTTATTTAAGCCATTTGTGTTTACTTTTTGTAATTTGCATCCAAAGGTGTCTTGACTTCACAGAAACAATAGGTTCTGACAAAAACAAATATTTTCCAGAGTTAATTAGATGTATAATGGCTATTCATTTCATCAGCTCCTATGCTAAGGGTTTAACAAACATTATCTCATTTAATCACTGTATGAAAGTCATCAATAATAAAAAAAATTTAAACTAAAAATTAAAGAAAAATGCCAGAGCACACTCATTCACTCTGGAAAGATGTATCAAATGCAAAAATCAATGTGAACTAGGACTGCAGAAATAGGAATAAGAGAAAAAAAGACGAGTTTTTTTCACTCTATACACATCTAAATTGTTTGATTTTTCAAAAAATAAGAATACTACTTCTGGAAGTAAAACATGCATAAAAGAGTTAAAAACAATATCCTTGAAAACTTACTTCATAGTATTCATATTCATCGAGGTTAAAGGAGTTGAAATTAAGGAAGCCATACTGCATTGCCTAAAATCCAAAGGAAAGCTTTTAATAACAAAGATGCAAATAAGGAAACAGTTTCCAATCCAATTTCTTAATAATAAGTATCAGGAGGCACCCCAGAAAAACATTCTTATATTTAGATTATGTTCCATTGAGTAGTTTTCAAAGGAGGTGGGCTATGTCTTTTAAATGCTTCCATTATCAGGAAAATTAGTTATAACAGTATTTATTTTAATGAAATTTTATTTTTTATTTTCCTTCATCAGTCATCCTATCCATGCAAGATCTAAATAATCAAGCCTTCAAAGTAATCCTACTCGTTTATTAGATCAACATCATTCAGGCTTCAAATATAATGCATAACCCAATGGTTGCTAAATAAATAATATAAAGGAAAGAAACCATGGGTTAGTTTATATCAAACAAATCCCACACATTTCATAAACATCTTCACTTTCAAATTCTGAACAGTCTTGAATTAAAAGATTAATGTTCCCTATACTAAAGACAGCCCAGAGATCAATACTAAAAGGCAAACTTTTGAGGGAAAAAACCCTTGCTTCAATAAGGAAAAATATATGAATTTTCTCTTCTACTCTGTAGCCTCACTCTGAGTTGCAATGCGCAGAGCATCATGCTAAGCAAAATAAGCACAATATCTATTTTCTGAGACAAGGACAAGCTGGCAGCCTCTGACAACTGTTCTCCCAGCTTACTGAGCCAGACAGTATGTAAGCAACAATTCTTGATCAGGAAGGTATTCTTGGTTCAAAAGGGGTGATTCTGCAAACCCAGTGTGCAAAATGTAAACTACTGAAATATGAATGAGAAATAAGAAGGCTATAACACCAAACCAAAAAAAAACTCATTTTGTAAAATATAGTGGCTTAAGTCCTAACTCCAAGACCAAATCCACGATGAATTTTATTTCTTTGAATTTGGAGTACCCAATATATGTCATATTTGGACTAGAATGATACATAATAATACAACAACAGAGTGACACAATAAAATAACAGAATGATACCATAAAATGTATCAGTTTGCAGGGAATTTCTATTATTTGAATTTCATAAGGAGACCCTATTAGAAGTAGCACTTAAAAAAAAGCACTACTAAAATCAAGACATAATTATTGATACATTTATAAAAATTTCAAATATATAATAATATTCAAAATCAGTCACAAACAGAAAATGTTTAAATGTAAAATCAGAAGCTGTTGTCTCTTGAATAAAATTAAATGTAGCATGAAAAAAGCAATCTTTGATCTATAGTTATAGCTAATTAAACTGTGGATATAACATCTGATAAAAACAAAGCCAATGTTATAGTAGACCATCTCCAAGGCCCTCATAAGTGTTTCTTCTTCTTCTTTTCTTTCTTTTTTTTTAAAGGTGCTGGGAGCAGAGAGAAGGGAGCCCTAGGGTCAAGGACAAGGATGCCTGGCTACATCAGCAGTTCCCTGGGGTCCATCTGGCAAGGACTGTAACTGTAACTAGAAGGGGTCATCTATACCTACTATCTCCCCATCTCCTGATCACCTCCTCTGCCCATGACCTGCCTAAACTGTGGCCTCATGGAGCTGTCTCAGAGCCTGCAGCAACTACCTCCATCAGCTCCATACACCACAGAGTTGCTGGGCTCAGTCCCAAAATTAAGGTCCATCCTCATTGCCTTATATAGGAAAAAAGATATAATAATTAATCTCTGAAGTTGTACTAATTAAGTCTCTCAGTTTAACCCCTAAAATTTCTGTCAAAATTCTCAGAAAGCCACCATGTTCCATTATACAAGAAAGTAAACCTGGGTTCCTTGTGCCTCTGAGAATACAAGTCACACAAACTTGAGATGTTTTCGAAGGCTTATTTGATCCAAGGGCTACTGACTGACAATTCTAGTTTCTTGCACGGCCCTGATGTTCAAGAAATATACCTAAGGGAGTGAGTGTTATAACCAGGGTCTGCTGCATCACATGACTCCAGGGGACCCTGTTTATTTAGAACGTGGTATGACGGTTGTCCCCTGGAGTCAAAGACAGCAAGTAGCCCTGGTTATAAAACACAGGAGTTATTTTTAAATAGCTTTGACAAAGCAGTAGTGACCTATACTTAGTATTATATAAAACCTAGTAACAAACTAATGGGCTACTCAAATACTTCTGTTGAACTAGAAATTGAATGCTTGAAGATACAAAAACAAAATATTTGACAGTTACTGTGTTATAGAAATGTCTGTTGTAAACAGAATCGATGGGAATCAGACCCATAAAATACATAAATCAAAGAGAACTTAGAAACCAGTAACCTATTTACTTCTTGTTTTTCTTTGAAATCATAACACATTCAAAACGAATTCTGAATTTAGAAGCTAATTACAAAACTGTTTCTTATTGTTCCCTGTGTTCAAGTGGCTTTTCCCCCAACTCGTGCACAGAAGCACTCAGATTCAGAATAATCTGTTTTCTAGTTTAGTGTCATTCTAATGTTGGCAGGGAAATGGGATACCTCTCACATCATATACATCTTGGAAGATCTTTGAGGAAGAAGGCCTGTCTTCCTTGCACTGTACTTCAGTTCTCCAGCACAACACTGGGTGTATCCTACGAGTCACTTACCTTCTTTACTGCATAAAAACAGTCAAGAAGTGTAATGTAGAAATTGCAACTCCCATAGGCAGCATCTCTGAAATTCCAAAAGTATTGAAATACATAGCTCAGTTAATTTAATTTTCTGCTGTACACTTATCTCAAGACAAAGTTGATTAGAATTTAAAATCAAACACATACTCAGGATCAGTCTCAAAAAAAAAAAGGATTCCTGCCTTTTGGTTTTTAAATAAAGGATAAGTCACTGTTATACAGTTCATTGTAATTTCTACCTATTCCAGTAGATACTGTTTTACAGATGTGGATCAATAATGACCACATCTTAAATTTCAAATGATCTGTCTAGACTGTTTTTGGCTTTAATAGTTGAGCTTCAAAAGTTCCTTCTTGAGTTCAACTTCTCAATAGTATGTACTCCTCCCCTCAAAAGGGAAAGGCATTTGATCTTTTTCTTCCAACTGGAGAATACTGTGTCAAACTGTTAGCAGGAAAGACTGCTTTTTGATTCTGTATATGCATGTTGTGTGCGCATGTGTGTGTGTGTTTATCTCCATCCACGTAGCAAAAAAAAATTTGGAAAGCAAGATAATATTTGAAATAATAGGTGCAAGCTAAAAAGCATTTTGCTCCTCTCATTATGCTCTTATACTTTTTAACAATTTAACTGGATAACTTCTTTCTGGTTCTTAAAGGACAACAGTACCAATAAAACCACAGAAACTAAGGAGTCAACTACTGTCAGGAGAATCACTCTACGTTGGAGAAGTGCTTAAAATTAAGTTAGACAGCCCCACCCAACACTGCATCAACACCTGTTAGTAATCTTACTACAAATGTCTTATGTCAGTTAAGATTTTGTCCAGAAAAATAAGGTACTCCTCCATTCCCACCTGCTTCTCCTTTTTGGCTAACTTGAGTCATTTCATTACAAAGTGAAAATTTTAAGAATTAGGCAAGATAAAAATGAATTTTATTATGATCATTCTAGGCATGCCAAGCAACTGTGCCTATCAGAATGGTACTCATTTGGTCCCTATGTGGAACCAGGCTGCTACTGGAGCCATAATTAATTGCCCGCCGTGGTTGGGCTTTCACATTGTAATTCACTTACCTGAAAAATTAAGGCATGTTTAAAATGTTTAGTTCTTGTACAAACTTTAAGAATATAGATTATTATAGCAACATTAACATCAAAGAAAAGGGCATCCTTTTTAGCTAAGACACTTTTAGACATTACTGTCTGAATTGGTTAGATTTACTTCAGTATATGTTAGGCTTCATGAGGACTGGACGCAAGGCCTTACAACGTGCCATTTTTGTTCTGTAAGCTTTTGAATTTAAATGCTGCTCTTCCAAAAGCTAGGAAAGGTCTCAATGCAACCGAGAAAATGATTTTTACCAATAGCTTACTGGCAATATTCAGGAAGGAGGAAAATAAAATGACCTGCACCATTACTTCTCAGAATATACTCCCTGGGCAAGAAGCACCAACATGCACCCCACTTGCTGGAAATGCTAATTCTCAAGCTCCAACCCAGACCAGTTCTAGGGGTGGGGCTGGGTCCTCCAGGTTCTTGTGATACACGTTCAAGTTTAAGAACCACTGACTTACAGGATCATCACAAATAATGTTTTGTACAAGTAACTGTTTCATGCAATAAGGAAGGTTTCTAAGATAAAGAAGCTAAGGTAGGAAAATGAAGTAGTTTAGTCTAAGTCAAAATGATCAGTGGAAAGACGATGAACTCTCAAATTGCATCCCAATGTTTTCACCACGTCTCCTCAGTTAGCTATGATTATTATCTTCTTAACCTATGATAATTCTTTTCCAATCAAGTTAAAGCCATGTTGATTCAGTTTTTGTGACAACTTGATGCATTTATTCAATGCATAACTTGGAATAAACCTACTGTGGGCCAAGCCCTGCTCTAGTCAAGCTTTGATCTGAGCTTGGATAAAGTTTTGCCACATTATCTGAAGAGACAAGAATCTTTCTTTATTCACTCATGTTTATTTCATTAACACCTCCAACTTTAAACACATCCACACCTCCTTCCTCCCACCCAAGCAATCAGACTTCTTCAAAATAGCAGCTATGAATCTGGATATAAGCCTTTGTGAGGGGGAAAACCTTGTCACAGATCATTTAACAAACTTGGAAAAGCAGATGAGAATCAATAAAGGAATACTGCTTAGAAACTGCAAAACAATGTCAAATACTAGTTTAAAAAAATAACAGTTTTCAGAGCAGCTTGCATTCGTAACAGCCTAAAACTACAAATAACCCAAGTGTCCATCAAAAGGATAATGGACAAATAAACTGTGGTATATTCATAGAATGGAATGCTACAAAAGCAATAAAAAATAGGACAAACTATTGATACTAACACCTGCCATCACATGGATAAATCTCACAGACATTATATATTTAAAACACTAGATCCCAGCTCTCCAAAAATGTATACTCTATGATTCCATTTATATGACATTAAAAGAAAAGAAAAACTTTTAGAAAGGGGGTAGAAGAGAATCTTCACGGAGGCTGACAATTTTCTGTATCTTGAACTGGATGGTAGTTACATGTAAATATGTAGGAGTTTATTGTTCTGTACACATAGGAGTTAGAGTTGTTAATTGTGTCTAAGTTATACATGGTTTTTAAAAGGAAAAAACCATGAATGTTTAACAAATGTTATCTAAGGATCAGCCACCAAGTGTTTCATAAGCAGGATGTTACTTAATCCTCACACCTCATTAGGGTGATCCTACTATCATTCCCACTTATAGACTAAGAGACCAAGGCTCACATTTGTAAAGAACCACGGAGATATTAGTGGCAGAACGGAGAGTCAAACTCCCATCTGTCTGATGTCAATAGCCAAGCTATTAGCAGCTCTGCAATACTACCTCTCAAGAAAATAAAGAACAGAGCCCTCCCCCCAAAAAAACCCAAAAAAACACACACACAAAAAAACAATTAAGAAGCAAGGAGTATTATAGGTAATACCAAAGAACAGAAGTATATGCTCTTCATATAACAATGATCCAAAAGTATCAAGAAAATGTTGAACTATATTTTATACTGTTTTTTCAGGTAGACAGGTAGAGAAATGTCTAATATAATTCATTAAGAAATCATATATATATATATATATATAGTTTTTTAAAACTCAGTGGTTGAAGAATTATATGTAACTTAAATTACATCTAATTAAATATTGCTAGGAGCCTAAAAGGAGTTATTAAAGACAAGTGAACACTATTCTTGCACAATCCCTTGTTAGCAGTTATATTTATTCTATGCTCTTGAATTGGCAAAGATAAAAGACTATAGTGTAATTTCTGTCAAAATATTATCAGGTTTTATTAATCCTGATTTGCCTACTTTCTTTTTTTTTTTTTTAATATTTATTTATTTATTTGGCTGTGCCCGGTCTTAGTTGTAGCACGCGGGATCCTTGTTGTGGCATGCAGGATCTTCAGTTGTGGCATACAGGATCTTTTAGTTGCGGCATGCAGGATCTAGTTCCCTGACCAGGGATTGAACCTGGGCCCCCTGCATTGGGAGTGTGGAGTCTTCACCACTGCACCACCAGGGAACCACTGGACCACCCGCCTACTCTCAATTAGTAAGTTCTTCAGAACAGTAAAATGTGGTGAAGCACAGATTTTTAAATCTGTCAAAGGCTGATACTTTTGTAAAATACAATAATATTTGTACTATTACATACCCACAATAATGCAATAATCTTATTTTGTAAGTAAAAATGAATTATTAGAAAAACGAAAGGAAAAAACACATAAATACAAGCTTAAATTCTTCTATTATTTGATTCCACAGACATAAAAATAGTCTATTAAATTGCTAAAAAGTCTGTAAAATCTTACTCGCAATTCCTGTACTTATCACAAGCTGGTAACAAAAAGTTCACAGACTGGCACTAGTTCACAGGCCACACTTGGAGAATCATTAAATGTCTGGCATCTATGACTAAAGAGATTCAAATTTCACAAACCTGAACTGCTTCTAGCTAAGTCCTGTTTTTTAGAAAATTAATGATTTTTGTTCCTGGAACCAGAAGCAACTAACTACATTTTTCAGTGCCAAACTTTAAGAATTTAAACATGGGTACGGCAGTAGACAACATTTATTCTATTTTTGATGCCTGTATTTAAATTAACACAAAACTTCTCTTACATTAACAATGCTTCATGGATCCTTACTTAGATTATGTGAAATGTGTAAGCTTATCCCTGTTTCAGGACCTTGCGTTATAAACTTTAAGAATGGCACTATTATAAAGGATTACTATTATAAAAGAAGAGTTCTGCAGAACAAAATTATCACTACAGCAATGTGCCTATGACTCAGGGACCACAAACACAATCACTTCTTCTGAAGGAAGTATACGGTTGCTGTTATAAGTTGAGAAGAAAAATGGAGCACTCTCCAGTTTAGAAAATAACCTTCATCCCTTCCTACCCACCACAAAGAATACTTAAGATGATCTCTGAGCTAGGAAGAAAGGCAGAGTGATACAGGGTCCAAAGCAATTCTTCTAATTGGCTAAATCACTAATATACATGCAGTCTTTAGTGCAATACATAACTGAACTCTGCAGACTATCCTAACAAAAATCTCGAATTCATGGAGTACATCCATGGACAGTCCTACAGAGTTATTTACGAAGGAGACAGATTCTGCATAAGGTTAGGGACACTCACCCCAAAACTTGTCCACAATTAAGTCAGGTTCATAACCTCCCCTTTAAAGGCAAGCCCACGTCTTCAAAATCAGGCATTTGAGGTATATGCAACAATTCTAAAACTAAGTTTAACTAATTTGCAGGCGGAAGAATAATGCAATATTTGAAATTCTCAATACAGTATGCAATGAGTAAAATCACTTCACACACTTATTATACTTAAGCACCATACAAGTATTTAATTATACAGCTAAGTCAAGTGTTTTGATAAACAGGAAGAGCAACTTTTAGAACTTCATTTGATTTTTAAAAAAAGAAAAAAAAAACACAAGTTTTTGGGTTTTTTTTTTTTCCAAAGTATCTTCAACACAATCACCTGGTAACTTTGACATAAGGATGAGGATGTCATTAACTTATATAAAGACATTACTTATCTACCACCTCTATGACACAGCCGTTTTGGTTTTTCAAGTAGTGGTGCTATATTAGCAACCTCACCCACTATTTCTGCTGGCTGTGTCCCTAGGAAAAGGGGGTTCGTTTCTGCCCCAGAAGTAACTCCTGATTATTGGGAAAAACTTATTTCTTAACTCCTCAGGACCAAAACTCCGCAGTACTGGAAAACGGTAGTTTGTCATACTATAACTCCAGGATTCTCATCTGATTACAAAGCACAGTTTCCATCAGTGAGAGTGGTTCTGACTTCTCATGTCGGAGCGATTCACCACCACTACCCCTAGCACCACCACAGACATCTGGCAATGTCTGGAGACATTTTTGGCTTTCACAGTTAATTTTCTGGGGTGAAGGTGTTACTGACATCTAGTGGGCAGAGGCCAGTGATGCTGTCAAACATCCTGCAGTACACAGGACAACCACCCCCCGACAAAATGTCAATAGCATCACTGTTGAGTAACCTAGATCTATGGTGTTATTTGCACCCACCTCAAAATAACTATTTATGAGGTCTTCTTTTTTCAGAAACAACTATACCAAGATATTTCTGGCAAGGGCCTGATTAAATGAATCTACCATAACATTCTTATATTTACCTGAAAGGAATATAGGATGTATCTCCAAACATTAATATTCTATATGCTTCTTCTGGAGTTTTCCCCAAATATATAACCTACATTTGAAGAGAGAAGAAAAAGACAATTTACTTCTAAATAAAGATATAGTACTGTCACTGAGAAGTAAGCTTTGTACAATCTTTAGCCAATCAACTGAGCCTGATTCTCTAGCCTTCCCAAGAATCCTATGAGTTGCCCACTACCCAGTCAGAGAATTCCCCTTTTGTTTAAATCTGCTGTCACAGCTGGTTTCTGCTGCTTGCAGAGCCCTGACCAGCAACTTTCTACAACAGCCTTTTGTAGTAAGAAGTAGAGCATTTCAAGAACAGATTTTCTAAATCAAGATGTTAGACTGAGCACATGCTTTGACCTCATGTCCTTTCTAAAAATACACCGAAATGATAGTAAAGAAGTGTGTGGGAGATGGGGATAGGGGATGGACTGGGACTGGGGGGAGGATGAGAGCAACATAGAATCAGGACAAACATTTTTATTAACTCCATCCATTTAGATTTAACAACGTACAATATTGTACGGGTTTCCTATAAAACTTCATTTGTTTACTATTGTCATTTGCTTCTTTTATCTTCAGAACTACGTTATGCTTCCATTTTTATCTGGTAGAATACTTCAAGTGGGTTCTTCAGCATTTGAGGTCCACAGCTGGTGGACCTTTTTGTAGTTCCAAAGTATCTTGTTTTCTGCCCTGACACTGGACTATGTATATGGTTTCAGGTCTGCAGTCCTTTTCTCTCAACAGTTCATAGATGTTGTGCCACTGTCTTCTCACTTCCAGTATTGCAGAAGTATTTTACTGGTCTCATTCTCTTCTCCCCCTCCCTCTTCCTCACAAGCAACCTGTTCTAGAAACTTGGAGCTTGAGAATGTCCACTGGCATCCCTCTAAATAAGTCATCCCCCTAAATAAGTCATCCCCCAGCCCCAATTAAGTTTGCCTCGGACTTTCTGACCCTCGCTCTATCCGAAGGCACATCTTTTTCCAACTCAGAATCTTCTGGCAGGACATTTTCCACCCATACATGAAGGCAAGGGGTGAGAGAGGCCACAAGCATTAGATTTGGCACACGTATTATTACCCAAATTCAATTCAATTCTTAAGCTTACTTTGGGAGAAAATACACTTTAAATTTTGACCAGTAAAAATAAATAACTAAAAAATTTAATTACAAACTTTTTATCTCCATTACTTAAATTTATATAAATGAGCTGTTTCTTCAACAAAATTCTGAAGTAAGAACCCATGTCTTATGTTTCATTGTAACTCCAGATTCATATTGGGTTGGCCAAAAAGTTCATTCAGCTTTTCCATCCCATCTTACGGAACAACCAAATGAACTTTTTGGCCAACCCAATACCTTTTATATGGACTCAGATTCGATCCTTAATTCATTGAACTTAAATCTACTTATAATAGAAAATTTTAAAATAATTGATAAAAAGTTAATACAAATATATCATTGGATTAAGAAAAATTATAAAAATCAAAGACCAGCACGAATCTTTGAAACTTAGAGAAGGATATATCTTAAAACAAGTCAGCTTCCAGAGGGCATTTTACCAATTTTGTTTTAAGACTCATAAATGGAAATGTTTACCCTGTTTCTGAAAATGATTTTATCCCATTTACTCTAATAATACAGAACTATAATTAACTATACAGAATCTTCTAACATTTATCTATAGCAGCATACAAACCCTCAAAGAACAATCAATCCCAAGAACAAAAGAATGCCTTCTTACCTAGTATCAAACAAATTTTCAAAGTACAATATTACTGACTCAGAGAAGGTTGTAATTTATCATGAATTAACTAATCAAAATCATCTATAATTGCACTCAACATTATATTTATCTATATATTACTTATTTAGATCTTTTAAGGATCAATCTATCAATTGACTTTCTATTGTCTTACTATTTATTTGGAAATAGAGCATACCAGTTCCTTTAAGAAAAACTAAAAAGTCTTTTAAATCTAGTGCCCCCCCGCCCCGTTCTCTACATTTACTCCTTCTCTTCTAGTCTCCAACCTGCTTCCTTTCTCTTCTAAGACTTAATGAATAACTTTAGGAAAGCCTTTTCATTTCTCCATTCTATTTTAGGTCTTCCTAGCAGGACTCCTCCAAAAAATTTCCTCTAAAAAACAACAACAAAAACACAAAACAAAACCAAATAAAAAAATACCTTGAGGCCAATGAGGGTAAGAATAGGATTTGATTCACTGATGTACGTATATACATACATAACTTAAATAAATTAATTAAATGAAATCCAGAAACCTCATTCAGATTTTCCCTAAATTTCTAATACGAAATTCTCTCAAATTATATAAACTTTTTCTTAAGCACCAGGTGAAAGATAATTCCTCCAACTCAAGATTGCAGTTCCTTGGTTTCTTTAATAACTAAAATTGCAATGGTATTATTTCCTTCTAACTTTCAAAACAGAAATAGTCTCTAATACATTAAATAATTGTGGGTTAGCCTTGGAATACAAATTCAGTTCAAAGAACCCAAGAAAAATGTAACATTTTTTCCTATGGAGAAACAAAACCTATATTCCTAGTGATGAACTTTTAAAAAACATAACCTTTAAACCCAACTGGGGAATGCTTATACGTAGAGATTTTAGGTACAATGTAATAAGTTGAAGGAAATTTACAGATTCAGAATAAGTTTTTTACATGATGCTATGGTCCAAATGTTTCTGTCCCATCCAAAATTCATATGTTGAAATCCTAACCTCCCAAAAGTGACGGTAGTAGGAGATGGGGCCTTTGGGAGACAGCCATTAGAGTGAAACCCTCGTGAATGGGATTAGTGTCTTATAAAAGGGACTCCAGAGAGATCCCTAGGCCCTTCCACCATGTGACAGCCCTCACTGGACCATGCTGTCACCCTGATCTTGGACTCCCAAGCTCCAGAACTGTGAGAGATAAACTTCTGGTGTTTATAAGCCTCTGGTATTTTGTTATAGCAGCCCAAAAGGACTAAGACATATAACAATCAAAGAAATGTCTGCTAACAATCTATAATTCTTAATTTTACACCCACTCATCTTCTCTAGTCAAAAGCCCTTCCCCATTAAAATTATTATAAATTTGTTACTTGAGAAGAATCCTTAAAATGGCTCCTATATTAGTTCTCAAATTAGTAAACTCGAAATCAATGAGATTTTATGATGTATCCGTGTGATCCCAGCAACTTGGAAGCTATGTGCTTCTCAAATTTTTTTAGTGTATTTTCATGAAAAGCTATATATATAGCATGGCCACTCTAACTGCACATTGCTGTCCAAAAATAGAAAACAACAAGAGATGAACAAGAGAGATACTAAATAGCTGTGGTAGCCAGCTTCCAAGACAGCCCCTACGATGCTCATCTTCTGGTATTTCCACCCTCAATGACTAGGTCACCATTGTGTAAACAATAGGATACTGCATTAATGGTAGAGTGGGACACCTGAAGCTAGATCACGAGGACGTTGTGGCTTTTGCCTTGCTTTCTTTAGGACTCCTCACTCCAAGAAAATCAGCTTCTTGTTTTGTGAGCGCAGCCCACGTGGTGAGGAACTGAGGCTCCTTGCCAACAACCAGTGCAAACTTGCTGGGCATGTGAATGGGCCATTTGAGCAGTGGACCCTCCAGCCCTAGTCAAGCCTTCAGATGACTGCAGCCCAGCCAGATCCAGAAGCAGACCCCCCCCAAGTTAGCCAATCTCAAATACCTTCCCCACAGAAACTGTTTCAGAGAACATTAATTGTTGTTTGAAGTCACTAAGTGTTGGTGTAATCTGTAAGGCAGCAATAGATAATACAGCAAGTAACACAGTAAAGAGTGAGCAATTGATCATTTCAGTTTGTTGAAAGTAGATAAAGTTTTTAAAAATGTGACAAGTGCAGAGATGTAAAAGTAAGGAAGCCCCGTGGCTTAGGAAACATGAGTAAGGAGAACCTGCTGTCTCTCTCCAGGGTAAGGAATCTCTCTGAAGGAGCAAAAGGCAATCTCACAGGAAAAATAAAGTACTGGGATAGAAAATACTTAGGAAGTTGGTAGTGCTTTTCAAAGTCATGACACAAACTTTCTTGGTTTTGTTTTTTGTGGGGTTTTTTGTTTGTTTTGTTTTTTTGCTGAACAATATTGCAGCCATTAGAATTCCACTGCCCCCATTTAAAAAGTTACCATCTGCCTAACCCAGCCCTGTGAAAACTTCTGATCTTGAATTGCTGATCAATGTTTCAAAACCTAGGAGAGCCTCAAGTAGCAATGGATAAATTAGTGGACTGAAACAAAAAGATCACAACTTGATCATGTATAGTTTTAATCTTGACAATTCAGGTCTCAAAATAATAAAGCCCAGTTATTTAGACACGTACTTCTCATTTCTATTCTCCCACAGAACATTTTGAAGTTTAATCTATGTACTTAGAGAAGCCTGTGGTAGAGTTTAAAAAACCAAAACATTGAGGGGGACCTTCAAGATGGTGGACGAGTAAGACATGGAGATCACCTTCCTCTCCACAAATACATCAAAAATACATCTACATATGAAACAACTCCTACAGAACACCAACTGAACACTGGCAGAAGACCTCAGACTTCCCAAAAGGCAAGAAACTCCCCACGTACCTGGGTAGGGCAAAAGAAAAAACAGAGACAAAAGAATAGGGACAGGACCTGCACCTCTGGGAGGGAGCTGTGAAGGAGGAAAAGTTTCCACACACTGGGAAGCCACTTCACTGGTGGAGACGGGGGTGGGCTGGGGGGAAGCTTCGGAGCCTAGAAGGACAGACAGCATAGCAACAGGGGTGCAGAGGGCAAAGCGGAGAGATACCCACACAGAGGATTGGTGCCGACCAGCACTCACCAGCCTGAAGCATGTCTGCTCACCCACCGGGGCGGGTGGGGGCTGGGAGCTGAGGCTCGGGCTTCAGAGGTCACACCCCAGGGAGAGGACTGGGGTTGGCTGCATGAACACAGCCTGAAGGGGGCTAGTGCGCCACAGCTAGCCGTGAGGGAGTCCAGAAGAAAGTCTGGA